CATATGGTATTTACCTGTCCTTTTGATTTAGAGTTTTTGTATTGTGGGAGATCTTTGATTACTGTTTCAGTTTCCTTGCTTGTAAGTGGTCTGTTCAGGTTTTCAATTTTTTCTAATTCAATCTCAGAAGGTCATATATCTCTAAGAATTGTTCATGTCTAGGTTATTCAGTATTTACAGTAGTCACTTATGATACTCTGTATATCTGTATATCTGAGATGTTATTTACTTCTTTTTAAAATTTCTGATTCTATTCATTAGATTTCCCTTTTCTTTTTCTTTGTGAGCCTAGCTAGAATTTTTTTCTCTTTTATTTCTTAACTGAACCAGTTTTTATTTCATTGATCTTTTGGACTGTCTTCATCTATTTATTTCTATTATTTCCTTCTTTCTATTCATTCTTGGTTGGTTTGTTCTCCTCTTCTAGTTCCTTAAGATTTAATTTATTTGAGCTCTTATTTCCTTATGTGGACCTATATTGTATATATTTCTCTCTTAGTACTGCTTTTGCCATGTTGCATGTCTTCATTTTTTATTTTCTCCCCTTATTTTTTAAAATTTCTTCTTTGAGACCCTTATTAACACAACACTCAGTAGTGTGTTGCTGAATTTCCATATATTAGAGGTTTTCTATTTCCTTTTTTGTGGTTGTCTAGTTTGATGTTCCTGTGAACAGAGAAGATACTTGACCTGATTTCAATCTTAATGAGTTTTTTGACACATTTTGTTAATTGGTCTATCCTTGAGAATATCCCATGTACACTTGAGAAGAATGTGTACTATTTTTTTTGGGGGGGTGGGCACAAGGTGCTGTGCCCTATAAATGTTAAGCCCATGTGGTCTAATTCCTCATTTAAGACTATTGTTTCCTTGTTGCTTTTCTTCCTGATTGGTCTGTCCACTGATGACAGTGGGATGTTAAGGTCCCCTACAACTATTGTGTTGTTGCCGTGTCTGTTTTAAGTTTGTCATATAGTTCAATGCTCCTTCATATAGTGCACATGTTATGTATCCCTGATGTACTATTCCTTTAATCATTATAATCATTACATAATGACTGTCACTGACTCTTATTTTTTCAGCTGGGAGTCTATTTTATCTGCTATTAATTATGGCTGCCCCTGCCTTTGATCCCAGTTTGTTTCTTTCAGTTAACACTTAAAGTCACACTCTTGTTAAAGGCTTATCACACTGGGAACTATGTCTCTACAGATAGCTCTTACCACCAGTAAGTGGGGGTATATTGAAGTACTGCAATTGAACAAGCAACTCAATTTCAGTTGCGAAGTTTGCTCCAGACTGCCCTTTAAATGAAATATGGGAAAAACAGCTGATAAAGGGGGTCTGGTTATGAAGGGAGTTGCAATCCAGTAAAGGAGCTACATGCATACAACATGAAGAGTAAATGTCCTAGAGATGTAGAGGGCTAGGGATTATGATCAAATATACATGGGAATAAGGGGAAATGGGAGCAAAAAAGTAATTCTGGAGAATTTGGAGAGGAAATTGTATTCCAAATATAGAAAACACTAGAACAAAAAAAGTCCAAAGTAAAAAGATATTTGGCTTATGACAAAGAGAGCTATGACATTTGGCTTATGACAAAAAAATCAAGTTACAAAAGAAAAGGACTACAGTATTAACTTACTAAACAAATACTATTATTTACCAGGAACTATTCTAGGCTTTGTATTAAAACAAAAACAAAAATGACAAAAATCCCCGTTATGTGGAGCCCATGTTCCACTATATTGTCAGAAAATAAGCAAGTGATGTATATCATATGCTAAATGATGATAGGTAATACTGAAAAAAAAGAAAAAAAATAAGGCATAGCAAATATGCTTAGCAGAGAACAGTCTACATTAAATAAAAGGCCAAGCCTCATAAAGAAAATATTTGACCAAATACATACTCAGGGTAGATGTGGGTTATTGATATCAGGAAGAAAAGTTTTCCAGGCAGAGGACAGTCATTGCAAAGGTCACGAGAGGGAAAGCAGACTCATGCCTGGGGTGGAGTGAGCAAGGGGAAATGGAAGACAAATTTTGGGAGCAGTAAAAGTGAGGCTTGGCTTTCAGGTCAAAGAAGCTATTGTAAAGAGTTTGTACTTTTTTGCTTTTAAAGCTTTATAAGCTAAGAAGCCAGCTTGAGTTTAAAGATAGAAATTACTTAGTCACTGGGTGCTGTGTTAAAAATTGACTCAAGGGTGGGAGTAGAGAACAGGGTGGTTTAAAGACCAGTTTGGATGCTACTGCAATAATCATCTAGGAGTGTGTGTGTGTGTGTGTGTGTGTGTGTGTGTGTGTGTGTGTGTGTGTGTATATATATATATATATATATATATATATATATACTGATTTAGCCCAGAATAATGATGTTTGGGAGGGTGTAAAGCAGTTGTAGTTTGAAGACAGAGCTGATGGGATTTGACTTATTGGCTATGGTATGTAAGAGGAGGCACCAATGATGGCAAGGTTTGTTATAAACAACTGAAAGGGACAGTTAGTTACAGACAACTGCAGGACAGGAAGATGTGAGACAAACTCCAGGTGGGCTTTCAGACTATTCTAGCGTTGGTATGTAAATTTAAGAGATGGTCTAAAAAAATAGGTGAGATTAAGAGAGAGAAGTATAAGAAAAAGAGACCTGGTATACACCAAGGTTGGAAAGATGGGGAAGACCTACCAAAGGATACAGAACAGCAATTACCAGTAAAGTAGAAGGAAAAACAGGTTGCTGGCTCTGGAAACCAAGTGAGGAAAGTCTGTCAAGAAGGGGATCAACCATCGGCTGCTACCGAAAGACGCAGATAAGGACTCAGAATAGACAGATATCTGGGGACCTTGACAAGAGCATTCTGGAGATGTGGTGGGGCGGTAGCCTAAGAATGGGTTCAGGTGAGAAGAAGAATAGGTAGAGTTGGAAGTTTGGCTGTGAAGGGAGTACCGAAAATGGGTAGTAAGCTGAAGAAGGTGATGGGTGTCAATTTCTTTTTAAAAGAAAATCATAGGAGGCTGATGGAAACAACACAGGAGGAGGATTGCTGAATAAGTGAAGAGGAAGAGGTTGAGTACATTAAGTGGTTGGGCTGTATTAGGAGTGTGAAGGATTCACCGACAGTAATAGGGAAGGAGGCTAGAGTACAGGAGGTACATGAGTGCTACTTGTTGGGTTTAGGACATTTTGTGTATTTGGAAGAGTAAGTTGGGAGTGATCACCAGGATGAAAGCTGGAGAGCTGGCTGAGGCCTAACAAAGTGAAATCGACAGAGTGGTTTTGAGAAAATGTTCCTAAAGAGTGCAACATCCACTTACATCTCATGTCACAGTGAACTAACTTGACAGGATTTAGCTTAGTTTGTTTACAGAAATGGAAGGAGTCGCATACCCCCCATCATGACTCATATGATATCCCTTTACTCCCACCCATCTTCTGAATCTGAGCCGTGAAATTCCCACCTTGTTCACCACACCAAAAAAAAAAAGAGGCACACTCAAGCTTTGTCTGCTTTATTTCACTACATGAAGTTAAGCAATAAGGCAAAACAGTAACCTGTCATTCATAAAGATAAAGGAATGCCTCTCATTCTCACAGGGGTCAAAGGATTTTTCTTTACAAATATGCACGACGCTACCTCATTATGCCTATAAGCACTTTGAACAAAAACTTCGGTAGGTTAATCAAATCACAAATCCAAATTAACTTAGCTTTAAGTTTCCAAAATTGTAGTTTCAAGTGCTAATGACATCGAATTCTCCTGCAGTGGTGCACAACTACTAGGCATTAAAAATCTTACACCTAATTTAATATAAAAAAGTAACAAATAAATTCCAAACCACCAGCTGCAGGTGTTAAACCATTTCTTCTAGCACACAGAACATAAGCTTGCACTGAAAACTATCTCAAGGAAACATTAAACCAAGGGCTCTGCTATTCTGCAATTTGGCTTCTGAAGAAAAAAAACTCCTATGATCAGAAGTGTCTGTTTTTGTATCACATGGGCTGATGAGACCCATCACGTCAACATTATTACTTTTGGGAACAAATAACAGTGATATGCCGTAAGTGCACGGCCAACAATGGTGTACAGTCTATGCAAAGGTGTAGACATCTAGCTAGTCCTCTATTTAGAGGCCCAATCCTTCCACTGGCCAATAGTGAACAGTGGTTTCACAGCAGGCTCTAGTAGGTCAGGAAATAAAAATGAACTTGACACTCTGTGGGGCACAAAATTAAACTATTTCTATAGTCTGTTAATTTGTCATTATATACCCCTTCCCACCACCCCAACTCCTAAGAGGCTAAACCTTATTACTGCCATAATAGTAGAGATAGGATTTTTTTCCCTTACATTGAAGCAAATATATTAATCTGTGGAATATTGTTTCATAAAACTGGCCTGACCTTAAACATACAATTTAGTGTCTTTCAAAGTCTTTTCATATTAATTTTTATCCTCTCAGTGGAGCTGAGAAGTTACTATGTCCTATCTGTATTCTAGATCATTATATATCTTTCTTTTTAAAAGTAAAGACTTCAACTTAAAAAACAATCAGGGTAAAAAGAAAATTTTTTCCCCAAAAGTATGTTGGCCACTTGCTAATAGTTCACTAACAAAAAATGTCACAACTTGTCTACTTTGTGAAGTCTCACTTAGAACTATCATAGAAATTAGGTGAGTAACCCCACACCAGGATGCCAGGCGAAAACAGCATGTGTGCTGTTAGGCAAGTGTTCTGAGCGATTTGCTGAATTATTTATGGTTTACAATCAAAATGGTCTTGTTCAATATACCATATGATAAGTCTTAACACAGGAACATGGTATTTTTTTAGCATCTAGTTTTGGATTTAAGAGATGAAAAGTTGTATTTCCCTTTCAAATCAGTGGAAGAACATTAATTCAGATCATGCTAAAAATCCAACCTTTAAATATTTTCTGTATGCCAGAAGTGAATTTGTCCATCAAGGATCTCTTTCCCAACCCAATTACTCAGAGCAATTTACTGAGTTAAAGAGACAGAGTAGAGATGAGAGGCCACAGAGAGTAAAACACAAAGGCTGCCTCCCCATGGCCAAGTTAACTATGACAAGATTTACAAAGAATGGAATTTGCCACCCCCTTGACAGGATGTAATTGCCTACTTCTTAAATTCTTCCTAACTAGCTCCACATTCTACTGGGAAAGATTTTTTTTTAACTGATAGGTTCAAAAAAAATATGGATTAATATTTTGTATTCATTTGGCAGAGGACACATGAAGTGCCTTAAGAATGTCACAGGTTTTCCAATCACCACAAAACTAAAGATCTTAGTTTTTGATCAAATGGAAACCCATGGAACGATGGAAGCCATGGTGGCAAGTGAAGGGTAGTTTTGACAATGAGGCTGTATCTCATGGACTGCAAAAACCAGTGGGCGCACCGACAGGGCATGAACAGCAGGCCCCTCTTTCATTAACATATAAAGTTTTATCTGTGAAATTGTGATTTTTTTTTTTTAGTGAGATCAGACTGGGAGATAGTACGGAAAGTTTCTCGGGTGGCAAATCAAAGGCCACTCCAAAGAACAGCCATCCTCTATCTTGGGATGGGATTATGCTGTGGTTATTCAACGTGCAGGGTTCAGTGAGGGACACACAGATTTACTCGTTAACAGCAGTGAGAGCAAGGGGATTGGCGGTTATACCCTGTGTCCCCAGTGCAGGCCTATGCTCACACCCCTTATAGGAACAGGATTCAGTAGTGCATGGGTACATCATTATAAACAAGGCCTAGTGAAGTAGAGGTGTCCACATTTTAACGTGGGTGGTAGTGATACTGTCCTTTGGGGTCTGGCTGCCAGTGATACCTCTTAAGGAAGAAGTGGGCCCAAGCTGAGTTCCACGTGCTGGGTGAGCCAGATGACTTCGGCGCTCTGGTCACCTTCTTCAGTGGGGCGGACGGATGTCACGTTTTTAAAATCATGTTTCATCTTAAAGCACACGGTCACTTCACCCTCCTCACGTTGTGGGGTCACTTTGATGAAAATACCCACTTTGTTGGCTTTTCTGAAGGCGATAACACTATGAAGGAAATAAGCACGACATTAGACAGCACTCAAGTCAGCCAAACCACTAAGACATACTGTCGTTTTGTGGCCCAACAGGAAAACTCATGACAAGATATGACCTCCACCTTGCTTATCAGCAACGAAAGAGTTCCTCAGCAAAATGCTGCTCTCTTTACTTTTTTAATATTACAAAAGTAAATATATAGTTATAAAAATTTAAATGGAAAAATATAAGTCTTTCTCCATATTTTCTCTTTCAGCACACAGAGAAAAACTGTACATAATTTGGTTCTTAACCTACCACGTATTTTATGGAGTTTAGTTCTACTTTTCTACTTTTATCCACACAAAAGGGACACACTATTTAATAACTTGCTTTTCCCCACTGTTTATCACAAACACATTCCATATTGCAGATATGCTCTGCATTCTATTTTAACAGAACTCTATTATCTATTTACCATTGGCATACACTGAGATAATGGCCAGTTTTCCGGTTATAAACAATGGTGTCTCCAACATCATTTTACACTTATCTTTGTGTACATGCGGTAATATTTCTATCAGGTAGAGACTGAATCTAACTCAGAACTTTAATGAGATTTCTGGAATACCACAAATCAGTGTGCATTTTGTAAGTTACTTAGTAAAATTTGGGGAGAGAAAATCTCTTTAAAAATCTCTTTGAGACTGGGAGAACATTTTTGCACACAACACTAATGATAAAGGACTGATCACAAAAATCTGCAAAGAGCTGATGAGACTCAACAACAACAAAGAAAATAATCCCGTCAAAAATGGGCAGAAGAGCTAAAAAGAAACTTCTCTGAAGAGGAAATGCAAATGGCCAACAGGCATATGAAAAAATGTTCAACATCACTTGTAATCAGGGAAATGCAAATCAAAACTACCATGAGATACCATCTTACACCAGTGAGAATGGCACATATTAAAAAAACTAGCAACAACAAGTGTTGGCGAGGGTGTGGAGAAAAAGGAACTCTTCTGCACTGTTGGTGGGAGTGCAAACTGGTCCAACCACTATGGAGAGCTGTGTGGAGATTTCTGGACCTACTAAACATAGAGCTTCCATATGATCCAGCAATTCCACTCCTAGGTATTTACCCAAAGGACACAGAAACATCAATTCCAAAGAACACCTGCACCCCTATGTTTATAGCAGCACTATTTACAATAGCTAACCTTTGGAAACAGCCCAAATGCCCAAAAATAGATGACTGGATTAAGAAGATGTGGTACATATATACCACGGAATATTACTCAGCATTCAAAAAAGATAAACACATGCAATTTGCAGCAACATGGATGGCGCTGGAAGGGATCATGCTCAGCGAAATAAGCCAGAAAGAAAAAGAAAAATACCGGATGGTCTCACTCATAGCAGGAATCTAGAAAACTTAAATAAGGGACCAGAAAAATGAATAACTATAAGAAAGCGAAAATCAAAATCAACAAAAAACTATGAACCAGAGACACTTTTTGGGGGGTGAGGGGCGGGAGGGGAGGGATTGGGGTCAGAATGGGGGGTTGCAATTGTATGAGGAATATAAAAATAAAATTTATTATTAAAAAAAAAAATCTCTTTGAGGTTTCCGTTTCAGTTTTCTGACATGTACTTGAAGTTTGTGATGTAATAACTTAGTTTCAAAAAGTAAAAGAGCAATGAAATAAGCTGAATTTCCAAATGATACTCATTTACTCTAAGAAGTTACCAGAATGAAACATTTACATATTTACATAGTACTATTCAGTACTAATTTCTAGGTATCTGAAAAGTTTATACAGCACAATGATGTGAAATATAATTGATTGAAGTAATTGGCCTGGAATTTGGTATCTCAGATGATTTTTCCAAAAGTTTTCCTTGGTGGAACATATTTCTGTACCCTATCAAGTAATTTAAGGATTTACATAGGCAAAGATTACAGAGAATACATTTTACATTGTGCTAATTTAACACATTTGTACCATAACAAAAGTCATGATTTGTATCAGATTGGAAATAAATCACTTAAAAATAGTAAAAAGGAAAAAGTTTTTCCAGCTTAAAGTTTACAGGCAACCACTGATGTCTGGGAAGTTTAAAAAAAAAAATCCAATCTCTGAAGCTCACTTAGACCTGCTAAAGAGGCTCTCTGGGGTGGGGCATGTGCCTCTACAGAAAAACAAACAAAAAAACACTTGCCCGGGGCTTTCTGGTAGCTGGATTTTGGTAATAGCTGCACTATTTCACACTTTCCTCCCCAACCCATTCCATGTTATTTTTTCTTTCTAATCTTACTGAGGGAGCTCTGATCATTCTGTTACAAAACCTGAAATGCTCCCTTTGCTACCGTTTTTCAGCTCCAAGCCCACAGTCTGTCTCCCGATCCGTACACAGGATTCTGCTAATCACATTTCTGCGTGGCAGGCTGGCTTCCTGCAGGTTCCCTTCCCAGGGGCACGGGAGGATAGTGGCTTACAAGAGGGAGGGGTCTGCTCCTCTCTGGGAGCTTCCCATTTCCTGGTGGTTCCAGTAGGCAAACACCCCCGCCCCTTTCGGGCCAAAGTATTTCTTCACCCAGGAAGGGGCACTATCCAGTTGTAGCTTTCCAACTCTTGCATATGCAGCTTCACCCTGCCTCTCCTCTGGGGCCGCCTGAGATGCCAACACTGGTTAGGAAATGTGTCCTCCCCATTAAGAGGTCTGACTCTTAATTTTAGTAATTCTAACTATGCTTCTGTTTTCTCAGCCCTAGGGATGGTAGCTGCTTCATAAACTTACTATTTCTGGGATATTTCGGAGTTTATTATTATTTTTTTTTAATCTTTGAAGTTACTCAGTTAGCATTTCTTTATAGGAAATTCTCTATTCAAATAACCGGATGTAATTTCTGTTTTTATACTGAAACCTAATTAATCTAGAGAAATGTTTTTATTTCTCAATTATTAGGTATAAGAAAGGAAAGTCAATTAGTGACTCAGGGGAGAGGCACATAAATCCATGATGAATCTGTAGGGACAGAATATTTTATCCTGTCCACAGTTAAAAATCATGCACTGAAAATTTATTATTAATAAGGGAAAATATATTTAAATGAAAAACACATTGAAAAAACTGTGCTTATAGAGAGATCCCAGAGATGAAACAAATATATAGAAGGACAAACACCAAAACGTTCATGGTGCTTCTCTCTGGCAGTGGGATTTTATTTCATTCTTTGTGACTTTGTATATATTCTATGGTCATTATTTTTGTGTAGGAAGAAATAAATTATTTTAAAAAATAGTTAAAAAGGGCCTCCCCGGTGGCGCAGCAGTTGAGACTGGGTTGCGAAGTTGCCCGCAGCCTCTGCAGCGCCGGTTCAATCCCCGGCTGCTCCCCGGCCACCGGAGGAGGGTCCCACATGGCACGCAGACCTCTCCTGCCGCCCGCTGCTCCCCTCAGCAGTGTACTTCAGTCCTTCTGCCTGCTCTGCTCCCCGCTCTGGCTCTGGTGAATTCTCTCACCCTCCCGCGCATCTGACTGTACCCAGTGCTTGTATAAATAAAAATAAATAAATCTTTAAAAAAAAAAAAAAAGTTAAAAAATTGGGACATAAAAGTGAGCCTCCTTTGCCAGTCATCTGGGGACACAAGAGATCACTCACTCAGGATCGTCCTGAAAGTCCTGGGGTTCTGCCAATTCATCATACTCTGCTGCTGCATCCTTGCCAGCTAGGACGAGCTCTTTGGGAGGCACCACCACCTGGAGAGTGACACAGAAGGAATCACGGCCTCAGGGGACACTTATTCAAGGGAACACCTCAGAGTGTTACACTGACCATGACAGACAGAAGCAAGCAGCAAATTTCAAGAAACACACAGCATTATTTCACTTATACAAACTTCAGGAATACAGAATTCCTAGTAAAAGTACAAGAAATTTAAAGGAATAATGGGGTCCAGTGAGTGCTTACTTCACTTGGGCTGCATTGGGAAATTCAATGGGGACATGGGGGCTTCAATTATATCTTTAATGTTTTATTACTTAAGGGCTCAGGGTACATGGGCGTTTGCTATATTGTTTATAAGTTTTAACATATATGAAACAGTTCATCACTCTTAAAAAAAATATAAAGGAGATACATTGGTTCCAACAATGTTGTATCATGCTGAATTATGAGTTAGTAATATGAAGAGAGGTATGGGCAAGTGTATCACGGAAGTGGGGATAGAATGAGACACTGTAGATCAAATGTATATTAACTCTCCAGAACGAAACATCACAACCCACTGAAGCTTCTTGATTGAAAACAATTACTAAGTAGATTGTAGAATGCTAGATTTGGGGATCTGGGGGAAGATCATCCTGAAGAATGGACAGAGGTGAGGTCATTGGGGAGCTCTCATGCTAAGCCAAGGAAAACACTTCATCCCAAAGTCCAAGGGATGCCATAATAAAAAATATATTTCAAAAGATCATTCTGGTGGTAAGATAGAAGATGGGCTGGAACAAAGCAGGGTGGACTAAAAAACAACGAGGTCAGTTAGTTAAAAGTCACAGACTAAAAAAGAAATGACGAGACCTTCAAACAGGACAGTAGCAGTGTGTCTGTAGATTAAGTGAAAAACACAGAGGAGATGGAATCAAAGGAACTTGATGACTGTTTAGATGTGGAAGTAAGAGATAACATAGAGTCCGTTAAGCCAACAAATTAGCCACTCCAGGAAGTCAGCCAGTCAGGATGAGGCAAAATGCTCCTACCTTTGCAGTGCTATTGATATCATCAGCGTCCCCCTCCTCACACTCCAACAGTGTCACATGGGTGAGGCTCTCCACTGGATTTGTGAGAGTCAGGAGGACCTGGCTCTCCTGGTGAAAAGGAAAAGCATCTCTCAGACATGTCCCACTACTGCCACCTAGGGCCACTTTATTAGCACTTACACTAAATACTTCAAAACCATCAGCTTACCTCCTCCCCACCATTACTCCTGAGCACCTATAACTGTATCATTAAATTCTCAAAGTGCTCACTGAGTCCTACTCTAGTATTTTTATGGGATATACACTCCCTAGAATTGCTATCTCACTGAGGAAATGAGACAAAGTCCATAGAAAGGTCCAGTTACTGGATTGAGATATTCTGAGGAATGTATATTATTTAAATGTAAATATCGACTGCTTCAAGTTTATAACTCCTGTCTCAACCAGGCTGCACTTAAGAACTAGAAAATAGGAAGTCTTCATAAGTGTATGAGAGCCACAGACTAACCATATGTAGTAACAGATCAAGACTACAAAAGACTAGAGTATTCCTGAACAATAATTTGTCCTTGCTTGATACTTTCTTGAGATTAGCAAGAAATCTTTAAAAATGAATAGGGACTATGTAAATGTCTTCATGAACAGCACAAAAAGGAAGAACTTAAGAGGCTGTTGTAGAACATTCTTTAATATATGTGCATGCATGTGTGTGTATGCGTGTGCAGGGCATAAATAAAGACCCCCAATCAAAGGGCTATGGTAAAGAAGAAATCTAATTGATTCCTGATTATTTGACATTTAGGTACATGGGATGGTAGAGAATCTCCTGAATGGAGAAGACTTGAGATGCCTCTCCTTCCCCGCTTACCTATGACTCCACCTTTATATAATGGACACACTGTGCTGCACACATTTCAAAGACGCTATTATCAAGAATTCCAGTTTAAAGAAATTTAAAATCTCATTCCTTTATTATTCCAAACTGTCTTCATTTCTATCCCTTGCTCATTGTAGCCCATGCCAAATATACATGCCACTGAACACACACTCACACACATCCTTTCTCCTGTTAAAGACAGTACTAACCTTCATGTGGCGAAGATTAGGAATTGACATGATTCTCACCTCTGGGATGTAATTGCTATACATGAATAAAAAATTTCATTAATATTTAGTGAAATCTGTTAAAATTATTACTATTTTTCTCATCTAGTACAGCAAAGGAAAGATTTCCTTATATTAACTGGAATAGTGAAAGAGCACTGACTGTGTATCTGGCCCTTTTTAGTTCCTTCCCCTAACTCACCAGAACATGTCTCAATCTTTTTGATTGTCAAAGACTTCTTTTTAATTACAGAGTAATCTACAGAATTGAATAAGTATATTTTGATTTAATCAGTTATTTCCCATTATTAGTTTGAAATTCAAATCATTTCAATTTCTTTGTCATTAAAATGTCGCAATACACATCCTTGTTATTTCTAGCTGCTGATGCTTTTGTTTCTACAGAATAGAAAGGTGTATGAAGTTTTCTTGCTCCAAAGACTCTAGCAATTCATAAACCTACCAATAATGTACACAAATATGCTTATTCCTATTCTCAAGAGTACTAGAAGCTATTTATTATTTTTTAACTTTTCCTATCTACTCTCAACATCTGTCCACATATTTACAGGTGATTTGGAATTCCTTTTCTCTAAGCTACCTGGTGAAATCCTTTGCCACCTATCCCATTTTTTATCTTTCCAATTGCTGGAAATCTGAGTACTTTGTAGTTAATTTTTTACAATTCCTCCCCCCACCCCCCTTTTTTTGGCAAAGGTCAAAGCTATTTTTCTTAGTGGCTTCTGGGTTTCCTGTCTCTTTCTGCCTCTCTATCCCATAGTGACAATTTCTATAACTTATTTGACTTATTTCTCTATAACTTTAGGAGGGGTTCTCTCACCCTGAGGTCAAGATAATATTTTCCTAATCCTTTCTGCTTGATAGTTGATTTTTCATGCACAAAATTCCCATTCAGTGACAAGCCCCAGTGAGTTAACACTAACTTAATCACTACCTCACTCATGGACATATTATTAGAACATAGCTAAATAAAATGAACAGTTACAGGATACACCTTCAAACTGTTATAATTTTTTACTTTACATAAAAAAATCATTTTCAAACTCAAGTACTTAATAACTTGTGGTGACTCATGATTTCTAATAACCAACATACCACACCACCACAGACCACACCATTATTGTGGCCCTGATGCCATCAAGCACCACTGATTGTATGTTTACACATTTGCCTTAAACTTCATGGTATGTAACTGAACTCCTAAACAGGAACAAATAGCAAGATTATTCTGATGTACTTTTTCTGATAAATACATTTCACATTGGAAAAAACAAAGGAACAAAGCCAATCTTAGAATACTCACACAGCAACCATTTGGATTTTGAATTTGATAGATGTTGGATTGAATTCTGGTTTGCTCAAATTATGTTCACACGGCTAAAAAGGAAAAATTGTAATCTGTATCAGGGAAAAGAATACTCTCTGTTGATCTGCATAGCGGCTACATTCAGGAGGGCAGCACTGACTAGAGTTTAGTTTTATTCAGCTACAAGACAAGGCCACGTATGCTTTGAAGAATGTGCACTACTGATAACCAAAATTTACAAATGCAGCTATTTTGGACTTCTGGATATAAGCAACCACACTGGTAATACCCCATGGTGCTTCAAAACAACTGAAATAGTAACTAACACAAACTGAGTTCATACTGTGTGAGCTGAAAAATGTGCTCCTGAGTTTAAGGGGATGTGAGCATTACATTGACTGTCAGGTGGAACAGGTACTACAGTACTGCTTGTCCCCATTTTGCAGATGACAATGGAACAGGGCACAGGAAGGTAAGCAGTCTGTGCAAACTCACAGAGCCTATTAAGAATTGAAGCTGGGGGCCTCCCTGGTGGCAAAAGGGGTTAAGATACAACCTATGAAGCTGTCTGCAGCCATTGCAACACGAGTTCGATCCCGGCTGGCCAAGGAGCAACCCACATGGCGCAGACGACCTCTCCTGACTTGCCCGCTGCTCCCCCAGCAGTGTAATAACAGGTATCTGTTTTTTTTTTTCAGTAGTCCAAAAAAGTACAGTATAAACATACCCATTTCCTGCCCTTTGTTTCTCTCCTCAGAGTCAACCTGTTTCTCCTTTGTTTTCTCAAAGATAGCCTGTGCATGAGAAAGTATATGCATCCATATCTTTTCTTCTTCACAAAAACACAGAAGGGAGCCCTTTGCTTTTTCACTTTATCTTGGAATTCTATACCAGCACACAGAGGTGCCTCTCTATCTCACAGTGACAATTTCTATAACTTTTTTCCCCGTGTCAGACTGTCAATCATCCAAACGTTCACAGGCCAGAACGCTGGACATAGACAAGCCTCTCTTCTCTCTGCCACCTAATGACACACACATGGCACAGCAGCCACATCTGCAACGCCTCTAGGGGCAGTTCTACAACTTATTTAACCAGACTTATTTAACTTGATTGCTAGTTAATCAGGATGTTTCCATGATTTTGCTACTACAAATGCAGTAGCAATGAGTACTACATGTGAATCATCGCCCTCAGGGTTGCATGCATTTGTTATCTTCAGACACTGCCAAACTGCTGAGTTTTGTTTGCTAATTTGATGAGTATGAAATGGTATCTCACTGCAGTTTTAGTGCACTTCTTCCTGATCTGTGTAAGTTTGAGTACCTTTCCTACCTACTGGGATTTAATTTTCTCTGCCATGACTTGTATGTTAGTATCCACTGAGTATTTTTATACCAGGATATCTTTTCCTTACTATTTCACAGAAAAGTTCTTTACCCATTCTGGATACTGATACTTTGTTCATTACATAATATACAAATTACATCAGTGTGTAGCTTATCTTTTTCATCTCTTTATCAGTTTTCTTTGGAGTGGTGGTAGAAGTTTTACCGCTAATGTATTCTAATTGATAACTTCTTTATAGTTTGTGTTGATTTGTCTTAATGGAACACATATTACACAAAAGTCTCCCACCTTTCTTTCTGAAAGTTTTCACCTTCGTATTTGCTCTTTTAAGTTTCCAGTGTTCCTAAATTGACTTTTGTGTATGACGTGAGGTAGAGACTCAATTTTTTTTATATAATTATTTAACTGAGAAAAATTTAATGGGTCTTTCTTTCTCTAATGATTTTCAAGGTCATATTTAGTAAATCTTATTTTCTCACAAGCGTGAGTCTTGTTTTTGCTTTCTTTATTCCATTAGTCTTTAACAAGTATATATATTTTTTCTTATTTTTTTATATATTACATGTTTTCACTTCCCCTCCTTATACAAAAAGTAGTGTACCTGCCATGCAAATTGCTTTTTTTCATTTAAAAATGTCCCATCCTGGAATACTGTTCTAGGTTAAACGGTAAATAACTAAACAATGCAAATGTGTCATCCTTGATTGGATTATGGTACAGAAACAAAAAGTCACAAATCTACTTGAGGACAGTTAAAGAATGTGAATATGAAATGAATATTAGGTGATATTAAGACATCATTAAGTTCTTATGTATAGTAATGGTATTGTATTTATGGGGGAAAATGTCCTGTTCTTAGGAGATGCATATGTAAGAATTTATGGGGGAGTATCACTGACTGCAGTATTTTCAAAATAAATAAATGAAATGAAACGTGGCCAAAAAAAAAATAAGTAACACAAAAATGTCCAATCCTAGCATATTCTTTTTTTTAATAGATTTATAGTACTCATTGTGTGGATATACCACAATCTCTATATGTTTTGGTTTATATGTGTGGAAGTGCAACTTGAAGATAGGGTGAGGTCAATGGGTCAATAGAAAACTGCTTATTTAGTTTTGGCAGACACTAGTATATTAATGGTATACTCATAATTGACATTATTTTAAATATACTTTTATTAATTTATTTTATATTAATATTTACTATCACTAACCTTTTAAAAAGAATAAACTTTTAGTTTTGTTGAGTTTTTGTATTTCATATTGGTTACTTCATTCATTAATGTTACTCTTCCTTCTGATTTATTTGGACTTACTTTGCTGTTCTTCTGACTTCCTGAACTGGATACTGAGACCACTGATTTCTTAACATTACTTCTTTTCAAATATTTAAATATTTAAGCATAGTCTTAGCTGAATCCTACAAACTCTCCTGTATAGGAATCACTGATTTCTAACTTAGAGTTGTAGTATAGTCAAATAATATGCTGTAATAATTTCATCTTTTTTTTAAATTTAATTTTTATATTCCCCATACAATTAAAACCCCCTTATTTTGACCCCAACCCCTCCTTTCCCCACTCCCCACCCCCCATAAAGTGTCTCTGGTTCATAGTTGTTTGCTGATTTTGATATTTTCTTTCTTATATTCTTTTTCCTGGTCCCTTATTTAAGTTTTCTAGATTCCTGTTATGAGTGAGACCATAATTTCATCTTTTTAAGAGATGATCCAACATGTAGTTACTTTTTATAAGTGTTCTGTGCGTACTTGAAAATATATTTGCAGACTGGGTAGTTTTCTATACATGCCATTCAGTCATGTATGCTAATCTGTATTGTTCTATACATGCCATTAAGTCATGTTCAAATAGTCTACATTGTTATTTGAAAATGTTACTTAGTGCATATAATCAATTCAACCGGGTCATGATCTATACTTAACACTTTCTGGAATTGATTTGCTAATTTTGTTGAGGACTTTGCATCCATGTTCATGAGTTTTCTTGTAATGTCTGTCTGGTTTTGTCATTAGGGGAATACTGGATATTGTTAAGGTAAAATGAGTTAGAAATATTCTTACCTCTGCTTCCTTCTATTTTTTCTGAAATTTTGTTGAAAACCGATTGTCATTTTTTCCAGTTAATACATCTGGGCCTGATGCTTTCTGTTTTGAAAGGTTATTCATTACTGATTAAATTTCTTTGATATGGGCCTATTCAACTTGTCCATTTCTTATGTCAATCTTGGCAGATAATGTCTTTTCAGGAATTGGACCATTTCATCTAGGTTATCAAATTTGTGGAACAGGCTTACTTCATTATTCCATGGGATTTAATGTGATGTCCCCTTTTCATTTTTGATATTGGTAATTTGTGTCCTCTATTTTTTGACTAGAAGCTTATTAATTTTGTTGACATTTTCAAAGAATCAGTTTGAGATTTCACTGATTTTCTCTTGTTCTCCTGATTTCAGTTTTTTTTTTTTAAAAGATTTATTTATTTATTTATACAAGAACCAGGGAACAGGCCAGAGGTGTGGGAGGGTGAGAGGATTCACCAGAGACAGAGCGGGGAACAGAACAGGCAGACTGATGAAATACACTGCTGAGGGGAACAGCAGGTGTGACAGGAGAGGTCTGCCATGCCATGTGGGACCCTCGCCGGCCGGGATCGAACCGACGCTGCAGAGGCTGTGGACAGTTTCACATCGCAGCGCTCAACCACCTGCGCCACCAGGGAAGGCCCTGATTTCAGTTTCATTGATTTCTGTTCCAAATAATTTCTTTTCTTCTGTTTACTTTGGATTTACTCTTTTTTCTAGTTTCCTAACGTGTAAACTAATGATGACTGACTTTAGATCTTTCTGCTTTCTATTATATGCATTTATTGCTATAGATTTTTCTCTAAGCATGACTTTTGCTGTACCCCACAAATTTGCTATCTCTGTAGAGATTGATTTTTTGCCCCATGTGTTATTTAAAGTGTGTTGTTTAATCCCTACATACTTTGTGATCTTCCAACTATGTTATGATTTCTAGTTTAATCCATTAGAATCTGAGAGCAGATATTGTATGGTTTCTATTCTTTCAGATTTTTAAGGTGTTTTATATTGCCCAGAATATAGTCTATCTTGGTGAATGTTTCCTATGATCTTGAGAAAAATGTATATTCTGCTGCTGTTAAAAGGAGAACTCTATAGACGTCAATTATTTCCAGTGACTGATGTTGGCGTTGAATTCAACTATGTCCTCACTGATTGTCTGCCTGCTTGAAATGCCAATTTTTTTGAAAGGTACTGCAGTGTCCAACTGTGATGGTGCATTCACTTATTTCTCCTTCTAATCCTACCATGTTTTGCATCATGCAGTTTGACACTCTTTTGCTAGGCACATAAGAATTAAGAATTGTTCTGTCCTTTTTGAAAAATGTCACCTTTGTCATTATTTTTATATTTCTTTATCCCTGATAACTATCCAGTATTATAAATCCCTATATACCCACCCAGCTTTAACAATTAGCAACTTATTAGCAACAATAATCAAACTTGTTTTCATCTGTACTTTCCACCCACTCCCCATGCCTGATTATTTTAAAACAAGTATCAGCTATTATGACATTTCATTCATAAATATTTTGGTATCTCTTAAATACATTTTAAAAATAACTACCGTTATCTCTTTAAAAAAAGTAAGTCAACAGAAACCCAGGCAGTGCTTCAATCCCCACAAAAGGGGATTTATAAATTTTTCTTTCCTTCCTCACTCTTCCCCTTTCATTTCCCCTTTTCTCTCTCCCCCGGCTCCTTTTTTTCTGTTTTGCTTGAATCAGGATTTAATAGTCTGTGCATTGTGCTTGATTGATATGCCTCTTAAGTCTCTTCTAATTTAAAGCTGTGTTATTTGACAATAATAGCCAGTAATCACATGTGGTCATTTAAATGAATTAAAACAAAAGATTCAGTATTTCAATTACAGCATCACATTTCACGAGATCAACAGTCACAAATGAGTAGTGGCTACCATACTGAACTATGCAGATGCTGAACATTTCTATCATCACAGAAAGTTCTGTTGGATAGCACTGACTGAAAAGCATTTTTAGTTTTTTTTTTTTTTTTTTTAAGATTTATTTATTCTTATACAAGAACTGGGGTACAGGCCAGAGGTGTGGGAGGGTGAGAGGATTCACCAGAGACAGAGCGGGGAGCAGAACAGGCAGACAACCAAAATACACTGCTGAGGGGAGCAGCATGTGAGACAAGGGAGGCCACATCATGTGGGAATCTCCCTGGCTGGCTGGGAATTGAACCGGCTCTGCAGAGGCTGCGGACAGCTTCATAGTGCGGTGCCCAACCCTCTGCGCCACCGGGGAGGCCCTGAAAAGGTTTGTTTTTAAGATTTTCTTTTACAATTTATTTATTGAAGAAACTTGTTTGCTCTGTAAATTCACAGAGCCTGGATTTTTCTTTTTAAATTGATTATTTTTTATTACTCCTTTTTATTCCCTCTCTTCTAGCCAAAAAGCTACACTTTTAGGGGTGAGTACTATGAACATTACCTTCAAATGCCTCCATTTCCACATCTGCAAGGGATAACAATAGTACCTACACCTCATAGAGCTGTGAGGATTAAGTTTATCTTGAAAGAATTTAGAATAGTGTCTGGATGCCAAGTGCATCCTTTCAGTGATTTACCTGCTACATTCCAGGTGTTCTGCTATTGGCCAGGTACCAATCACGTTTATTTTTTTTGTTCTCTTATATAAATGAGAACATGTAACTCTATAAAACGGAACACTCACCCGGCAGCGCAGGGACCGTTTAATCAGAAGATGTTTATGACGAGGATAGAGCTGTGAAGCACAAATTGGTTGGAAGTCAGGCTGTAAGAGGCGCTGCTGAAGAGTGGTCACTAGCATGGAAGGTAGAAACCAGGCTTAGTTTATAGTGGCTTGCTCAAACTCAGACTTATATGCAGTATTTACATGAGAAAACACTGCCTTTATGAAGCAGGTTCTTCAAAAAATGGTAAAATAGATATTTGACATTTTAAAGTTTTTCATGATCACTTCTATTTTATGTTCTACAGGATTCATTTTATTATGAACTAACACCATTACAAAATCCCAAAACACAAGAGATATAAGTAACAAAAGCAGAAACAGATATAAGATAGAGACAAAGTTGAATAGTGTATAAACTTACCCTCTGTTAAATTTACTGGTCTTGTATAATAGTCTTCAGGTAGAGGCTCCACTTCTTCTACAGCCTGAGCTGGCTCAATTTTTATCTCTTTCTGGTCCTCCCCTTCTTTAAGGCTGAAGGATTAAAAGTAGAAATTTCTCAAGGATCCACTTGATAATCTTCAAAGTCTATGACATCAGTTATTGAAGCATTCTTCTACTGTAAAATATTCTTTCTGTTTAGGTCTTTTCTAAGTTTGAGAATCTTCCCCATTTGCTATGATTTTGCTTTATAAATTATATTCCTTCAATATAATTTATATTATATTTAATATCCCTGGTACCTCCTTTTCGCCTCAGTCATTTAATGTACAAACTTACGAAAGTCCAGCAAGGGTACTGATTGTTGCACCAGCTCGTGGTCGCTGAAGTCGGGTTCCAAGACCGTATTTATCCTGAAAAGTTCAGAACATCTAATTAGAAATTCCATATTTATACATTCTATGCTCCAAAAGAAAAGATATGGGGTGGGGCAGCATGAGAAGCTCAGGGAAATAAGCAAAAACAAACAAAAACAAAAAAACCCAGCTAATTTGAAAGATTCTTTTAGACAGACTAATGTATAGTTCCACATCATCTTAAAGTAATAATAAAAGTACCAAACATGGAGACCAAAACTACATTAATACTGTCAAACTGAACCAAATGTGAATTCGCTACTATCGAGTATAGAAAGAGCTAAGCTATCGCTAAGACTAGTACTATGTGGAGCATCTAAGACACATGATGAATATGTCTTCTTGGAACACCAGTGATCATCTGCTAACTTCTTCAGCGTTGGCAAGAATCATAAAAGAGAACTTACCACTACATGAATAGTGTGTTGCTGTAGGCCCCAAAATAGCAGCAGGTTGCAACAGAGACAAAAAAATGCAGCATAAGATAGAAGCAAACTCATACAGCAGGCAGGTTGTAAGGGAAAAGTTGAAAGAATGCATTTAATTCCAATTTCTCTCCTAAATATACTTGTACATACGCCAAATTATGCCACTGAACTACTCAGAAAAGTTCACTAAGACTTCATTAAGGTCTTTGGCAATTGTAGATCCTTTCAAGTTTTAATGTTTTAATCTGAGCTAGGTATTTTTAAATGTCCTTTATCGATCCTTAGGTTTCAAAGGCTTAACTCTCAAGTGGAAGTGGGATGGCATGTTATTTAACCTTTATAGGTTTCATTCCTCAATTATAAAACAGGAATATATCACCTACCCCACAGAACTGGTTATGAAAACAGAATGGTAAGAGTAAAGTGCTTAGCACAATGTTTGACACAAATCATTGCCCTTTAGTGTTATGGGTCTGTTTGGCTCCAAGCAAATACAACAAAGTACTACATACTGTTGGTAGTACTCAATTAATTTGTTCATCCGGAACCTGGGGGACAATAACAAATATTCTAAATCTTAATGTAATGCTAAACAGTAACCATTTTGGGGGAATAATCCACAAAGAAAGAGGAGTGATGGAGAAAGAAACATAAATGTCCTTAAAACTTAAAAAACTCAGGCCTCCCCTGGTGGCGCAGCGGTTGAGCGCTGGGCTGCGGGGCTACCCACAGCCTCTGCAGCACCGGTTTGATCCCTGGCCGCCAGTGAGGATCCCACATGGCGCAACAGAACTCTCCTGCCATGCCCGCTGCTCCCCTCAGCAGTGTATTTCATCACTCTGCCTGCTCTGCTCCCTGCTCTGGCTCTGGTGAATTCTCTCACCCTCCCACGCTTCTGACTGTACCCAGTGCTTGTATAAATAAATAAATCTTTAAAAAAAAAAAAAGTAAAAAAAAAACCTTAAAACTCAAACAGAACTAATGATATGGCAAAAGCTGAACTGCTGAACTTAAAGGTCTGTAATTCGAGGAGCTTTTCCCTGCTACCCATCAGTTAGGAATTCAGGGACCCTGGCTACTTCCTGAAACTGTCACTGCTCTCATGCCACACAGTCTTGATCAATGAGCTGCAAACTCCATTTTGGATGAAGTTCTCACCGAAAAAGCCAACGGCATATAGTTTCTACGCCGCGCCAGTTTCTTGCGATCTCGTTCAACCTTCTCTTTTTGGGCAAGCTGTTGGTAGTACTCAATTAGTTTGTTCATCTGTAAGAAATCAAAGACAAAGTTATTTGTTTCATGAAAATGTTAACAGGAAACATGCAAAATTAAAATTAGTCAACTACACTGATGAGACAAAATGAATAGAGAAGACAAATAGTTTGCCCTTTTCTTCAAAAACAACTTCTCTTTACTACATAACCTTTTCAGAACTGAAATGAATCAAGTTTAACAAGAAATGTGCAATGAAAGGTTTACTAACTTTATGCTCTTTTTATTGTGTTTTTACTTCGCTGTTTATTTCCCCTCAGCTCAGACTGCTCCTATTTTTTTTTTTTTTTTTTGGCAAGGCCACAGGATCATCTATTTTTAAGAATATGACATTTTGCACTGCTTTATCCCTCAGTCCATCACACATTTTCACTTTTAAAATGTTTTCATCATAAAAGCAATAATTGTTAATTGTGAAATTTTCAAGAAAACAAACACAAAGAATCAAAAAGGGAGACTTCTCTTTAACCTCTTGGGCCCACGTCCAGCATTCCCCTGAGCAGAGGTATCCACTATTATTAACAGAGATCTTTTTATACACTCACAGACACAGGTCTGATGATGTTATATTTTGCATACATTTAAAAAAAATCTATAAGCAGACCTATAGCTTTGATAAGTTTAAAAACAAATACAAGTTTTTATTTTTTAATAATGTATTTCCTTTGCAAGGAAACTATATCGTAACTTTCTTTTTCACTGAAAGTATCATGAACTTTCCATCCAATACAAAAAGATCTACCTCATTCTTACCAAAGGCTGCATCTTACTGAATGTACAGATGTCCTGTAAGAAATGTAAACATTTCCTATGAAATGATAAATGGTCTTCTGGTACCCACTTTGGGTCTCTTAAGTCAGCCGCAGTTACATTTTAGAAACACCAAGCTAATCCTGTTATTACTTAAAGGTATCGCAAACTTCTTTACTTGGTCTACATGGTCCTGCATGGTCTGATCCCAAATATTACTCTTCATTTGCTTAATCCTATGCTCCATTACAGTCATATTCCATTTCTTTCCTACAATTTGCTTTGTTTCTTCCATTTACAAGCTCTTTGCATATAGTGTTCCTTTGCTTTGAATTCTTTCCTATCTTTGTTAGTTGTTCTCAGATCTTAGTGCAATCCTTAGACATGAAGCTGACAAGCTGAAATTCCTCCCTTACATATTAGCATGGCATAACATCTCTCCTTTACTTTAGTTAGCATAGTTTTTCCTTTATCTGTGGACTATTTGACTGGTTTTTGTTTTCCCATTAGACTTAAGCTCTATGAAGGTAAGAACCATGTGTCCTATTGTCCAGCACAATCCCTGGCACATAGTAAGTACTCAACAAATGTTGAATGAATAAATATCGTTGTGCACAAGTTCAGATATTTCTGTAGATAAGAGCCCAGGAAATAGATAATGCTGAGAACTCAAGAAACCTGTACTAGTTTACAATAACAATAATGAATGTCAGAAGGTCCAAGTTTCTAAAGCATCACCTCGGATAGGTTTGGTTATTTCTAATTTTGTTGCTGATATAGGTGAATAACTACAAATTATTAAGTTGTAGTTCGACTGTAAATACTTCATTTCAACAGCATTTCATTATCTTTCTTACATTCTACTTCCAGGGGAAAAAACAATAAAACCCAACACCTTTACTACATACTACAGAGATCTATTCACTGTGAACTATTTAAAGGGTGCTCAAGTCACGATTCTATAAGCTACCATGACTGAGTCCAAGGGCATCTTCTGAATTAGTGGGGTTCTCAGGAGTTAAGATGTCAACATGTTGATGTGATTTCAAGAGCATCTGTGAACAAATGGAGCCTTCATTTTGTTGGTACTTCTATGAAAAACAAAAATATATTTTTTTCTTTTGCCAATTTAAAATTTGAGTAGGGAGCTAAAACTACATCTAGGTTTCTCTATTAACTCAGACTTGGAAAAAATCGCCATGGTGACAATGTCTAACAGTGAGAAGCACTTTCTATGTGTAATAGATACCAAAATACAGAAACATCATGGATTTCTAAGCATAGGCCACATTGATGAAATGGAAGCTCTTCAGTCTTTTCTCCATTTTTAATTATTTCATCCTCTCTCTGAAGATCTTTACTTACCCTCTGTGTGTGAGGATTTTCAGGTTCCTGCCAACCACCACTAGCTGCAAAATAAAGGAACATTAAACAATTTGATAAATTTTCAAAATACAGATCATCTGCAGGCCACAAAATGAACTTAAAAACACACAAATTGCAAAACTTCCAAGAATGAGTCCTAGAATTATATAGATCAGAATGAGAATTAATTTTTTTCTTTAAACAAAATGGAGATAATGCTCATCACCACCACAATGACACATGTATAGCTTCTGTCCCAGGCAACTGAAACACATTGCATTTCATTTTATTCTTATAATAACCCTCTCTGGCAGGGACTCTTCTTAGTAGTTTCATTTTATAAAAGAGGATACTGAGACTCAGAGGGATTAAATAACTTGTCCAAAGTCACACAGAGTCTGTGGTAAAGCCGGAATTCCAGCACAGGCAGCCTGACTCCAGAGACCCAGTGTTATCAGGGTCTCCGCATTTTTTATGATCTTGGTGTAAAGAAGAATTTCTTATATAAGAAAGAAACAGCAAAAATCACAAAAGAAAAAATTATTCCAGAAAGCAGAAAGTAAAACCATAATAAATACTTTCAATAAATGGTGCTATAAGAATTGGATATCCACATCCAACAAATGGACATTGACCCTTACTTCACAATGTATACAAAATTTACCCTGCAATGGACAAGAGGTTTACATGTAGGAACTAATAATATTTCTATAAGAAATTATAAGTGAAAATCTTATGACTGGCTTAGACTTAAGTTTTCCTTATTTGAACACAAATACGAAATAAAAATTGTATGACTATATCAAATTAGAAACCTGTTTTCTTCAAAAGACCCTGTTGAGAAAATAAAAGACAAGGTACAAACTGGGAGAAAGAATTTGCAAAACATATATTCAAAGAAGGGCTTGTATCCAAATAGAGAATTTTTATAATTCCACGATAAAAGATAAAAACCTCAATTAAAAAATGGGCAGAAAACGAAGCCAGCTGTATTTGCTGAACTGTTAAGATTGTCTGGACCTAGAGCTGAACACTTTACATACAACTCAGTCAAGTTTTATTACAATCTCACAAAGAAATATCACTGTTCTCATTATAGGAAGCGGAAAATAAAGGTTTAAAGAGATTAAAGAATTGCTCCCACAGCCTGTTAATGACAGAAGTGGACTTCATGCTTAGGCCTGTCTCCAAAGTCATGTTTTAATCTGCGGTCTTCAGACATATTTGTAAAATTTTTTGAGTGAATACTCTGATGGATGTGTAAACGTATAACACCACATTGTATACATGTGCTGCTGCATATGTACCCTTGTAAATCATACAAAATAAAATATTTTTAAAGATGCCATAATATATTTGCAAAATATTTGTACAAACACCTAACAAATAAAATATATTCTTTGCATGGTAAATAAACAAAGTAAGAACATGCAAATTAAAATCATAATGCTAACTGAATGACTAAAATGAACAATTGACATTATTAAGGGTTGGTGAGGAACTGGAACTCAGTTACATTGCTGGTGAGGATCCAAAATGGAAATTGGAAAGAGTTTGGAAGTTTCTAATCAGGTTAAACATACCCTGTGACCCAATTTACTCCTAGATATTATTTACTCAAGAAACCACACATCTACACATCACTAAGACTTGAAGGCAAATGTTCATAGAAGCTTTATTTCTAGAGTACAAACACTGGAAAAGACCCAATGTCCATCAACTGAAGAATGATAAACAAACCAAATACAATAGAATACTACCTGAGAATAGAAAGTAAAAAACGGACAAGCCTCAAAGGCATGTTAAGTAAAGACTACAAGCAACTGTCCAATTATACAAACTTCTAGAAACAGCAAAATGACAATGACAGAAAGTTATCAGTGATAATCAAGGGCCAGGAGGTAGGAGGGAAGGCACTGACTGCAAAGGGACATGAGGCATATTAGGGTGATACAAATGTTCTACAACATGACTGTGGTGGGGACTACATGATGATACATATTTACCAAAAATCATCAAGTTCTTAAAAATGGAGAGCTTCATTTTGAGCAATTATTATCTTAATATAACTAACAGAAAGGATGTAAGCTATAATGAGGTACCATTTCCTAACTATCAGTTTGGAAAAATTAGAAGAAGTCCAACAATACCAGCAGCTGCCAGGATCTGGAGCCTACTCATATATGATCAGTGGGGACAAAACCTGTTAACCATTTAGGAGAACTAAAGATGTCTACAACTTAAAGCAGCAATTTCACTTTTGGTTATGGAGAGAAGTCCATACAAAGTCCACACAGCATTGCTGTCAAAGCAAACAATCAAAACCAATTTAAATGTCTATGAAGAGGAGTCTGAGAGCCTCCCGGGTAGCACAGGGGTTAAAAGCTTAGTGCCATCAAGCTACCACCAGCCACTGCAATAAGAGTTCAATCCCCAGCCAGGGAGCATATGACTCAGCAGAACTCTCCTCTCTTGCCCACTGCTCCCTCAGCAGTGTATTTCAGTAGATCCACCTGTTCTGCTCCTCACTCTGTCTCTGGTGAATGCTCTCACTCCTGCACCTCTGACCTACACTCCAGTTCTTGTATGCATAAACAAATAAAATCTTAAAAAAAGAGGAGACTGAAAACTATGTATCACAAACATCAAACTGATAGAGAAAAGTAGCAGGACATATAGTGTTTTTATTTGTTTCAAACTGAAAACTATTTTAGTGGCTACACACATAATGGAGATATAAAGACATGTGCAGTCATTAGCACTGAATTTAGGATTGTGATGATTGTCTATCTGGGGGGTAAAGGAAGGGGAATGCAGTGCTAGGTGGATATAAAAGGGGCATAAACTTTTTCACTGTTTCATTTTTGAAATGAAGTACTGTCAATGAAGTTGACAGTTAAGTACATGAAAGCATATTATCTGTATAATTAAATATTTTTCAAAACAAAAATGGATCTCATTGAAGGTAACACTGCAGCCCTGGGAAGAAAAGTCAGCAAAACATCCTTTAGCACACTGTTTGTATTTTAGAGGTTGCTTTATGTAAAGCAAATACAAAATAATTATGTGAAAGAAATGTTTTAGTGGTACCATTTCAAAATCTTAATGTTTTACCTAATTGCATCTTTAGAAACGGCAACTTATTTGAAATGGCAATTTGGGGAACATAGTGATATCATTATTAGTTTTTCTATGTCCATTACTGCACAACACTTAATAAACCAATAGTTCTAACTGAAGCAGTTCCAGGACTTCTCGGACACCAGTGACATCATGGAAGAATCTCTACTCTTATTAAGAGCTTTTAGCTTTCAAGTATCACTGTTAAGATACCCTAGGGGGATGTTTCTAGAAGCAAAACAAGTTTAAAGCTCTGAAATATAAGTTCACCAATTCTAATGCCTTATAATCCAAAAAGCAAAAACATTCATTTACAGAATAGTAATTGAGAAATCTATTTGGATTTGGATTTTGTTTCTTCAACTTAGAAACATGGGAAAACTATACTTCATCTCACTGAGGCATGAAAGCCACTTTGAGGTTATCTTTACCTTTAATTTTTAAACAAATTCAAAAACTTATCTGCAACATTGACAATGAAATATAAATATTTTACTAACTTTTTAAAAGATGCTTAAATCTTTCTACATAAACAATATTCAGGTAAATCATCTACACACCAAGCACTTATAAGAAACTAAGATATAAAATAGTTGTCGGGCCTCCCTGGTGGCGCGAGGGGTTACGACACAGCCTATGAAGCTGTCCACAGCCACTACAGTACCAGTTCAATCCCCAGCCAGCCGGGAGCTATCCACATGGCGCAGCAGACCTCTCCTGACTCGTCCGCTGCTCCCTCAGCTGTGTATTTCAGTCAGTCTGACTGTTCTGTTCCCTACTCTGTCTCTGGTGAATCTTCTCACCTCCACACCTCTGGCCTGTACCCCAGTTCTTGTATGCATAAATAAATAAATCTTTTAAAAAAAAATAAAATAGTCGTTAACTTTTGTTAACTCAATGACTATTTTATTACTCATGTACAAAATATTTTACAAACCAATGTACAGAAAAATGATCAATGCCTTTGATAAAGGACAAACTCAACAGAATCAAAATTAAAATGTTAAAAATAGTTGAATCTAAAGAAACTTCACTCACATTTACTTCAAATTGCATTGAGAATTTAGACAAGCTTTTAGCTATTCTTCATTTGTTATGTAAAATGACCACAATGAGTTATTATGGGCTTATTTGTATACTGTAAGCTAATTTTTTTTTTTAAGATTTATTTATTTATGCATCAAGAACCAGGACATAGGTCAGATGTGTGGAGGGTGAGAGGATTCACCAGAGACAGAGCTGGAACAGAACAGGCACACTGACTGAAATACATTACTAGGGAGCAGCGGACCAGACAGGAGAGGTCTGCCATGCCATGTGGGGATGGACCCCGAGCTGCAAAGGCTGCGGACGCTTCACAGCGCTGCACAACTGCTGCGACACCAGGGTGACCCACTAATTAAATTTTTTTTTTTTTTAGATTTATTTATTTATACAAGCACTGAGGGTGAGAGAATTCACC